AAAAAAAAAAAACCCTCCTCCTCTCTTATTTCTGAGACTGAGGGATGAACGTGCAAAATAACAACCCTCCTGTAACTCCGCAGAGCCCCCGGGGCGATGCGCTAGCATGGAATGGGATGCTCTGAAAGGCGTGGATCCCCCCGGCCTCCCGGAGCATCTTGGCTCCGTAGTGAGGGCGCCCAGCGGAGGATGAGCTTGGAGAACCGGCCTGGAAAAGCTCAAAGGATGCTTTACCTTTAGTTACCTGTGCGCTTGCAAGGGCAGAAAATTACTTCTAATTTTTCATCCTGATTTTAATTAGGTTTTCTTTAATCTGTAGCCTGGCTTCTTTCCTTGTCTCTTTTATACCGTTAAAATTAGTCTTAATTTAATATTCAGCCCTTTAAGGCACATGATTTCCCCATGGAGGCAAGCCAGTGCTTCATTCCGGAGGCGCTTTCCGACCTCCTTTGTGTTTGACTTGAATTTTTTTGTCACGTAAGTGGTGGCTGAGCCCGTTCCTGCTGGTCCCTGCGTGGGGCTGGGAGCACCCAGCTCGTGGTGCCCCGGATCAGCTCCTTCCTCGCAGGTTGGGTCCTCGGTTCGTTGTCCGCTTCGTTAAGCGTCCTCCCCAGCGACGTGGTTTAAAACCCATTAGGCGTGCCTTCGGCCCTTCATTTCTGCAGAGCGGCCGTGAATATTTCAACACGACAAACCCTTGCGTGCCTGCCCCACTGTTAAATCTTGTTTCCCGAGATCACCAGCGCTTACCGCCAGGGCCTCCCCATCCCTCTTGGGATTGCTCTGGGCCGAGCGCGAGAGGCAATGCCGATGCCGTAGCACTGCGGGTCTCTGTCCTGTCCAGGGTCCAGCCCAGGCTGAGATGGTCCTCAGCCAGATGAGAAGCCTTCGCTGCGTCCCCGTGGAACCCTCCGCCTGCCTGAAATCACGGGAGGTGCTTGTGGGTCTTCGTCCGACCACGAGCCCTTCCCCTGCCTGCGCCGGGGCGCTCGCCTTTCTCTTCCCAACCGTATTTACGGGGCCAGGCAGATATTATATTATTAGGGGACTGTTTTATTGCCGTTATCATCTGCGGGGCATGTTAAGCATTTCAGATAGGGCGTATCACCTGGATCTTATATCCCGCTCCCATCAGTGACTGATCCCTATTTCTCTGGCAGATGATGGATGCTCTCCCTCTCCGCGGGGCTGTCTCCGGTCGCGGCGATGTTCCTAGCTGCCGCGCTCGGCCAGCTCCCTGCCACCAGCTTGAATGACTCCTCTTTTGGGTTTTTTTCTTCTCTTTTCCCCCCTGTTTGACCAATTTGGAGCATATTTCCCACTCTTGGAAGCCAGTCTTAGAGAGGTCAGAGGCAGGCGTTCGGAAGCGCACGTAGTGGTCGGGAAGGTGTTGCTGTAGTCCCAGAGATGTGCAAGGGAGAGTTATGAACTGGCTGGCTATCCTACATGCAATAAAAATGAGAAATGGATTATATCTAGGGGAGAGGGAGAGAAAAGCTTTCAGGAAGGCAGAAAGCTTGTTCCTGGCTGCCACCTGGGCAAGAGCAGGGCAGCCCCCTGGTCCTTGGTTAGCGGTGGGCGACGCTGGCACGCGTTTGGGGTGGTGCTGGATGAAGCTGAAGAGAAACCTGGGCTTTTTGCTCCCAATTATCGCCTTCGTCAGGAGCTGCTCAGCCCCATGGGTCTTGGTGTGGGACCCCCTTTCCCAGGTCCTGCCCTCTTTCTTCCAGGACTTCATGTTTTAAATTTTGATGCAGTTGTCTCGTGGCAGAGTTTGAATTGGGGAGGGGAGGGGAAAGCCCAATTTGTGCACGGGCTGCCACTGGTTAAAAAAAAAAACCTTTTATGGAGCAGCTTCTGGTAAATGAGAGCCCGGGAAAGATTTTGCAGCAAAATAACGAATCTCTTGACATGTAAAGGCTTTTTCATTTTTTTTTTTCTTTTTTTTTTTTCCCTTTGCTTTGATTGTGCCATTTGTTCTAGTTTCTATAATAAGTTTGTTTGGGCTTGCAGATTTCCAACTGGAAGCTGCTTCTCTTGGAGCAGAGCTCTTGCAGCGCAGCGGGGGGAGTTGCAGAAGATGCGGGCACGTACGTGTGCTTTGCTCCCAGGAAAAAAAAGGGTTTGCCCCCCCCAAATGTTTTCCCCGCGCAGGCGGGAGCAATGTGCTGCTGGATGCTGTTGGTTGTTTGCTGTCGGGGGCTCTTCGTGGGGACCTGGCGTTGCATGCGGTGGGACGTGGGCTGGGAACAACCGGGGGGGTGTGATTCATTCCATTTAAATAAGAAATGTCTGGGGAACAGCCAGTTTCCAGGTTTTAATTAGAATACTGCTCGTTGCTGGCCGGGTGTTCGTGGGGTGATGCAGCGCTCGGGAAATGACGGAGACCTGTCCTGTTTGCAGCAGAACGTATGGGCCCCGGGGCCTGGGAAGGCACCGAGGGCGGGTGATGGCTCGGGCAACTGATTTATTCTATAGGAAGAAATTGCCTATGGATCATCTGCAAAGCAGGGAGCAGATGCTGAAGGGCAGGGATAGCCGGCCACGTCTCTCCGGAATAACGCCGGAGCGGGGAGTGAGGCTAGCAGATAGCTTCCCCGTTAAGAGCAGAGTGCAAAGGCGTTAGAGCACCTCGCTGCGCTCCAAGGATGTTGTTTTTCAACAGAACCTGTTTTATCCAGGGAACAAACTAGCTGAGGTTGACAACCAGAGCTGCTGTATTTAGGGCCCATAGG